CCCGGCGAGCCCTGTCGCTTCCTGCAGCCTCTCGGGGACCCCCGGCCGCCGCTCTCCGGCCGAAGCGCTCCCCCGGGGGGATGGATGCGCCGCCCCTCCCCTCTCATTTCCTTATTCTGGGGAGCGTCGTCTTCCATCAAACTCCGGTGAAAAGGGCAGCTTGAGTCGGGGTTTACCGCAGGTTGCCTTGGCTGGCTTGGCCCTCACACTATAAAATGGAGACCCCGCTGCAAGGCGTGCTGAGTGCGTTTAACTTGTGCATTTTCGGGGTGAGACTGGCCCTGTCAAATTGGAGAAACTCTGGGAAAACTGCAAATACAAGATACCAGTGAAGATGCTACTTTCTAAAACTTTGATCGTTCTTTTTTATGAGTTCAGAGTTACAGCAAAGAAAAGCAAGACAATTTTTTCACTCTTCTGTTTTTAGGTAGGTACAGCTTACCAAAAACCCCATACACTATCTCATCATAAGGATGGCTTTCCAAGGGAAGATAAAATGCCAGTTCAGTCGAGTAGAGCATCTTAAACTATAGGCTATATTTTTAAACGATTTATGCTGGAACAAGGATCTTCATATATTTAACAAAGCCACCTCCAAGATGTTGCTCATCTTTCACCCTTCAGGCTTAGAAGTTTAACATGAAAATTTTCCATATTAATTCTTATTCTAATATTGTGCAACTTCTTGTCTTTAAGAAACCAAAAAATTACAATGGAACTGTTGTATAAAATCTATGTAAGCTGTATTACAGAATCACTTAGTGGTGGTCTTTATACTTTTTGATGTAGTTACATCCAGTAAAGAGTGTTCAGTGAATTCTAATGCCAGCTTTTATTATGACTAGGTTTCTCAGGCTGCAGCAGACTTGAAGCAATTCTGCCTGCAGAATGCACAACATGATCCCCTACTGACAGGAGTATCATCAAGTACAAATCCATTCAGACCCCAGAAAGTTTGTTCATTTTTGTAATTACGTGAACTACTTCAGTATCTTTCAGTGGTAAGTTCTTGAATTACGATTCATAAACTGTTCTTTCATTAAAAATAGCTGGCTTTAAATGAGACTGCCTGAATTAAAAGTAGTCAGAAGAGACATCTGACTTCTGCAGCTGGTGTTGGTCTAGATCCCCATTTTGGGCCTCTCTTCCCCTGTTCTGGTCGTAGCTCTGGACACATGCTATTCATAAGTATTAGGAGTGGCATTTAGTTGTTGCAGCAAAGTAGTAGTGGGGCCAGCTGCTACTGAGCTGCTATTTTGACTAACCTGGTTGTACAGTAATTCTACTGTATCTTCCTTCTGTGTAAGGGTATTGTTTCCCTTTTCTCACATAGGATTACTTGCCTGCAGCATACATGGTGAATCCTGGTTGTGGCAGATAAAGCAGACTTTAGTTCTTAAACTTTTTCATTAAAGAGCACTTCCAAAGAGGGGTTAGTGGTGGTCTCCAAGAAGAGCACTGTCCCCTATAGGACACGCCTTCTAAGGCAAAAGAAAAAAGTATGTAGTCCAAGAATTGTATCAAGGCCCATACTCCACTCAAATAAGCTACTACATGGGTAGCATTTTAAGTAACTAGAAACAGTTGAATACTCATTTGGATTTTCATTCCAAAACTTTTATGGGTTCATTAGCACTACTGGTGTCACTGTGAAGACTACTAATCTGGCATTCCTTGAAAATTCTGATTAGATTTTAGACTAACCTATTTGGAAAGGTGAGTTTTAGATCCACAGTAGTCTCACCAAGACTCTGAGAGTCACAGTAATTTGATATTTTGCCCACAGTAAATGCATGATAATTTTACCGTGTCCCTCTTCCCCATTGCCCCTTGACTTGGATCTGTTGGGGCAAGAGCATAAATGTTATTTTAAAGCACCTGATACGCAGTTAACCATAGCTCACAATCCTTAGAAATCTCATAGCGAGTCTTAACCTTGAAGAATTCTGTTTTTGTAACTGACTTACATCACCCAAAGAATTGTAGTTTGCTAGATTTAAGTTGTGTTATTTAAGCAGCTTTATAGAAAGGTGATTGTTAAAATCATTCTTTAAAATTGTTCTCCCCTCAAGCAGACTGTAGAAAGCTTCCAAAAAGTTTGTGTATAAACAAGGCGGTTCATGCTGATAAAGACCAGAGTAGTAACAGTATAGAGGTTGATGCTTAACTATTTAACAAACGAGAAGAAAAACACTTCCCCCATTGTTTTGAGCAATAAATTACAGCAGTGTAACTGAAACATGCTTTAGAGTTCTTGTAGCTTTTAAAGTTATTTATATTGTGAATTTTATCAACTATTCTTATTTAAAAGGTATTATTCTTGGACACTGACTTGTGTTCACGCTACTGTAGTTTCAGCTTTAAGCGTAATTCAAGGAAGAAATTGGATCATCTGTAAGCATTATAGACTGATAACCTATAGAAAGCCAAATAAACTGTACTTGAATCCGGGACAAATACTGTTTCCCCACTGAGCTTTGCCAAGGTCTAGTAATTCCTGGGTGTGGATGTCAGGAAGTAATGTTTCCTCTGTCTCACATACACAGGGCATAAAAGGCTTATTATTTTCTTTCTCAATTACAGCCCTTATCTTCCCCCTTTCTGATTCTGGAACAGAGCACTTGTTTCTGCTGATGTTACAGGCCAAAGTCATTAGAGCAGCCTAATGTTGTTACACTACCTATATGGAAAATTTCTTTCCTTCACTGTATCTCTTGCAAGCACTTCCTCAAAATAGGCAATTTCTTAGTTGTAATCCTGGCGTTTTCACGATGAGCCAACAGAGTTCATGTTTGCGCAGTTAGCACCACCTCTGTGGAGTGAAGAGGAAGCGTAATTTGTTAGTTACACAGACTCCCCTTGCTTTTCAAAGGCAAAGTAGATGCCTGGTATTTCTCGAGGCACCAAGTGACTGGGAACAACTTTTTCTGTCCTTCCACTTAGCCATTTGGCTTCCAGGAGACACTAAGTTTCAGTTCTTTTGTAACAGTTTTGATTATCTTCTTGTACCCTTGGGGATAGCTTCATGGTTTTAAAATTTTATTTTATTAACTAATAGTTTTCTAAAACAGCTGTGGAAAAAGAGGGGTTTTTTCTCCTAAATAGCTGTCCATGGCATACTCTGAAGGTACATGTTCTTAGACATAGACTTGCTTCATTTAGCATTGATACTTTGCTAACTACATTTTGGTTTTGTTTTTCAGATCTTCTAGCATCTTTTCCTAGCTGCTGATGTATGTATGGGCAGAGTGCCTCAAGGAGTGGCCTGGTTTGACGTCTGTACAAAAGCTTAGCTTTAATGTGCCAAATCTAACTGTAAAATTGCTACTGTCATCAAACCTCTTACCATCTACCTCTCCAAATGAACTGTATGCTAGTTACAATACTTCTGTTTCATAAGGGAATCAGTTTTATATGCCAAGCAAAAAATAAAAGTGTCTTGACTTAGTCTGGTCTTGAAATTACTGTAACAAGTTGAATAACTTCTGGGTATGTTGACACCTCACCAGTTACTGCATCACTCTGCCCAGCTGGAGAGCATATACAGGAGTCTGTCTTTAAATATTCCATGCTGCTGCAAGTTTGCCTGGGGTTGACAGTCTTACAGAACAATGAGGCTTCATCAGTACTATACTTAGAAGCATAATAGAAATAGAACAGAAAAAATGTTTTGGCTGTTAGTTTATAATTCAACTATAGAGCTGTCCCATATCATAGACATTAAATAAAGACAAAGAGTAATTTAATTATTCTTTATCTTAAAGTGTAATTCTACCCTAGTAGACTTACTCTATGAGCCATCTTACTCTTCAGGTGAATATGAAAAAGCACTTCTTATAGTTGCATATGAAGAGAAAGTAATTCAAAGAAAACTTAGCTTTTTAGTTGCCAGTGAATGTGCAAACTTAAGGCAGAACAGTAGTTTATTCTGCAGGTAATAACAACTTGAGTATAGCTATGAGGCTGAAGAAGCATTTTTAAGATTTTAATGGGAAAAACCCTGCTCAGAGACCTCACATGTTCAACTAAGCAGCATTTTTAGGTGAGATAGCTTTATGTACTTCTATAAGCTGGCCTTACGAATTCTTTGCCATAGGTGTTTTATTTCTTTTTATATATAAGAATATCAATTGCTTTGGGTATATACCTCTTCTGAGTATGACATTTACACAAGAGATACCTGTAGGAGTCAAGCATATTATTTGTAACTTCAGCAACATGGCTATTTTATGCAAGATGTAATGAAATAAAATACCGCAGACTTCCTGGATTGCATATAGCCTTTTCACTGTTCTCTAGAGAGGAGACCAGTTTTGGAAAACTATCACCATACTATTAGGGAACAGCATACTGTAAGTTAGAAAGATGTTTAAAACATTTATCTCTTACCTGATTAATGAAAGGTGTCTGGGTTTAGCTGCTTAACAGAAAAAAAAGCTGTATAGCTAGAAATACTTTATTTTGAGAATATCTTTAACCAAATATTTACTGCCTTTGATGTTACAAAGTATAATTTATCTCTACAGCTCAAATCTTCAGTGATAGCTAAATTACAGGCTGCTCTGACATTGCTGTAGTTTTTCCTGCTAAACCGGAAGAGTCACTGTCCTTGTCATGTTGGATTTAACTACAAACATAGGAAGAAAGATGTGTCCTACTTGACCTGCTCCTGTATAAAGTTTCAATGTTTGCAGTTTGTCTTTCCGCAGGCAGATACTGTTCAGTATCATTATCATTAGTTAGGAGCCTGAGAGAATCCGTAGTTCAAAGCAGTTGTTGTATTTCTGGTCACCAGCAATTGGCCGATACCTGTCCCTCATAAGTGAAATTTTCTTCTACTTGTGTCCATTTCTCGGCGCTGAAATTTAAAAAAAGTTATTAACCAGCAAATTCATGCAACAGGATATAAATAAGGATGACCACTCCAGTTTATAGTAGGGTAAGCAGTGAAATGTGTCACAGTTACAGTGTAGTTGAGTCTTTATAGTCAGCTTTTCAAGACTAACAAGAGAGAAGAATTAGAGATTAGTGATTTAGAACTAAAGAACATGCAGCAGTTCTCTGCCTACTGATAGGAGACAAAGTGTCTTTACAACAAACAAGATTATCCATTTCATGGACTACCCCAGGAGCATTAGAATTTTTCTTCCACTATAGCTTGGATACTGACTTCTAAGTTTTGCCAATCAACTGCAATTCCATGGTAAGAATGACTGGAAAAGTAATTTATCATTGCCTAGAGTAATACTTCCATTTCACTTGAAGATGTACAGAGTGTTACTTTCCATTCACTATTAAGAAGTGACATTTATGTAAATAGCTTAATCATTTTTACATTATGATTCTTGCACTCACCTTGCACAAAAATAGCTCTAGTCAAGTTTACTAGGCTTCCAATTATAGCTTATACTAGGGAAGCATTTTTCACATTTGCTTATATCTGTATATGTTAAATTACGTTCTGCAAATAAGTAGTCATGGTATATTGATACTCATCATCCTTGCTATTTTTATTTTTGACTTGCAGTATAGCAGAATGCTTCTACTTTGCATATTTCTCAAAATATACCTCTAAATATTTCAGTTAAACACTTCCATATTGAGAACTGCTTTTTTAGGCAAAGATTTGTGGTTACATTTCATGTCAAATTTAGTTTCCCTTCCCAAGCAGGACTATTATCATTACTTAGACATACCTTATGAATCCATTCATACTCTCCAAATTTGGAATCAAAGGTTCCTTTTTGAAGAGACCTCAGCTTTAATGTAAAACGTGGCCCAAGTTCCTGAATTCCCACTTTCTTTTCACTCTTGAAAATATATCTTGGGGAAGAAAAAAAAAAAATTAGGAAGTAAGTTACGAGAACATTCTCTCTCATTTATGAGTTTTGCGGAAAATGTCACCTGTGGAATCTGAAAAAGATGTAGTCTCGCTGGTTGTGAAATGTAGCTACTTGTCTTCCAATGAACT